TTTCAGTCACATTACATTAATCAACAAAACACACAAGAATTATAATACATTGAGATAGGGTAGAGTCCCCCCTTACCTCGGATCGAAGTCTCACACGCTAAATTCACTAAGAAACGCTCCCCTCACAAATTTTGTCTTCCAAGCGTTCCCCACATAGATTTAACCTTCAATCAAGCACCCAAACGGCTTTGGAGGCAATGAATCAGTGGAACATGGCTTTGGGCATAAGAGGATTGAAGGGAGAGGGAGAAAACTCTCTTCGAAGCCTAATCCCCTTTAAATCCTTTTTTTCTAGTCGCAACACTCTCGCTACAGCGAGATATTCTCACTGCAACGAGGGGACCTTGTTGCAGCGACATGCCCTCTCGCTGCAGCGAAAAAACCAGAGAAAACTAAACTCTGGTTTTTGCAGAATCTCGCTACAGTGAAACCCTCTCGCTACAGCGAGACTGCACCTAAAAATGCATTGCAAACTGTCGATCTCTCGCTACAGCGAGAAGGCAATAGTTCTGGTACTTCCTCCCAGGGCCCTTTCGCTTTAGCGAGAACAGCCCAGTAACACGCCCTACACTTAGGCACTTAGCCCATTTCAGCCCAACCAGTCATGCATACACACATACATATTCACAACATATATCTAAAAATACACACATGAATATACATTTAGATTTATATAAATAACAATAATTAAGATTACAAAATTCGGGGCGTTACAGAATATGTGCTCAGTTTGGATATAAAATTTCATATAAAAAGACTTGGAAAGCGAAGCAAAAAATCATTGTTAAAGTATTTGGTGATTGTGATGAATCATATGCTATGTTGCCAAGTTGGTTAGAATACATGCAATTATATGCTCTTGAATCTGTTTATAAAATTAAAACAAAAGAGTATATAGTTGGTTATCAATTGGATAACAAGTTTAAAGTATTTGAACAATTATTCTAGTTATTCAAACAATGTCATGAAGCTTTCAAATTCTGCAAACCTATATTACAAGTGGATGGGACATTCTTATATGGTAAGTATCGTCATACATTGCTCATTACAACAACTCAAGATGGAAATAATTATGTCCTTCTATTAGCTTTTGCAATTGTTGAAGGAAAAACCTTGTCAACATGGGAATGGTTCTTGGCATTGATTCGTTTGCATGTTATTGATAAATCGATAATTTGTTTGATATCAGATAGGCATCAAAGTATAAAAGGGGCTTGTCAAATTCACACATTGGGTGACAACCTCCAAATGCGTATCATGTATATTGCATTCGTCAAGAAACTACCTACAAAAGCATCTGATCATGATATGATACCTAGGTTGTCTTCAACAATCTGCGCCTAATCACCTCCAATAGGTTCTATAACATGTCTCCCATCTATGCGTAATCCTAAGAGGATAGCAACATCCTGAAGAATAATAGTACACTCTCTAGGGGCATGTGGAAGGTGTGTGTCTTGGGCTTTCACCTCTCTACTAAAGCAATAATCAACCTACGTCTAGGGGAAACTAGGACAAGTTAGCTACTCCAATAAAATCTACTAACTCCAGATGCGGAATAATTTCTTTTGAAACACCCTCTATTCCACCAAGAATATTCTGACACTTCTTGACCCTAAATATCAGGTGATCATGTCCATCCTAAATATGTTCAAAAACATGAATACTCTGAAACTGAAAAAGTGATAGATCTTCTGGCCCGAGATTAGTAATTCTACTTTGTCATGAAGATGATGCCATCTATACAACAAAATCACTATAAGTAATAAAATTTCATTCAATAATAATTTTATATTTTACTAACATAATTAACAATACATATTTTATAATGGTTAAACAAATTTACAAACTAAATATTATCACATTGTAATGACATAAATATATATTTAATGCAATATATTATAAACTCATCATAACCTATATTCAATACAAATTATAATTTACGTAATATCAATTTCATTTTAAAAATAAATATTTTTATTTACATTTTCATACATCTTACTAAAGATATACAAAATTATAATTATTGCAAATATTTTTCATATAAAAATGTACTTAATACAATTTATATAAATAATGTTACGTTATTTAAATAAAAAAACTCTAATTATTAACATAAAAGTAATTTAAATTATTATTATTTTTTCATATTTTCAGTTTAAATCTACGTAAATTGCATGCAGTTTACAATTATATAAATAATATTATGTTTTTTAAATTAAAAAATATATTTAGTTACAGACAAATTTTTTTTAATTTACATTTTTAATAATTTAAATTTATATATACACACAATATTCATACAAATTATGATTATATGTTAATTAAATACATCATAATATTTTATATTATTACTGAATATCAAAATTTATATTTTCTAAATTTTATTTAAATTAATATATAGGTGTAAAAATTATGTATTATAATAAAACTGAATATAAATTATTATTAAAATAATTTAATTAACTAATTTTCTATTATTCTTTATTTTTAAAAATATATAACAAATATAATATACATAATATTAATAATATTATGCTAATATATTATATAAAATGAAATTTAAGCAAATTTTTTTAACAGTTAATTATAATTTTATATTTTAATTTATTACACTTCAACTACAACTGAATTTTTTAAACAACATATTAATTTATACAAATAATATAAAAATATTTAAATTTGTAAATTTTTTTTACTAATCTCAATAAACCTTTAGGCCAATTATTTTACTACTCATCACCTGCATAAAATTTATAAACATTTAAAATTCAGTTTTTATCATTTTTCATATTTTTCAAATAACACAAATCAATTTAAAAATAGAATATCAATATACAAATAATGATTTATACCTTTAAAATAGATACAAAATTTGAAAATTTTGAGGCTAAAAATGTAAATAACAAACACAATTTTTAGATTAATTTTGAGATTTTGTAGCACAACTTAAAAAGAGAAAAAAGGCAAAATGAAAATAAGAATGGAAGAGAAGAGGAAGAAAGATGAGAATAATTATTGTAGCCAAACACGTGTCAACACATCATTGGTTTCGTCAACTGTATGATGAAATACTCTTTCACTATGAGAAACGCAACAGCCGAAATATAGTCACATATCTTAAAAATTTTCTAGTTGTTTTTATTACATAATTTTTTTTATTTTTAAATTTTTATATGATGACTTTCACAATTTCTGTGGCAATACTATTATTTATTAATGTCACTTTCTAATTATTTTTGCTTTAATGGTAGCGAAACTTTGCTTTTATTTTATTAGTCAAATGATAAAACCATTCTTCGTTGACACATAGTTTAATTTTACGTATTTCACTTTTTTTATAAAATAATAAATAAAATAATTATAAATTAATTATTTTCGTTAACTATCTTGACGAAACTCTTCACCATGTTAGCAATTTTATCCAGACAAAAAAATAGTTTAAAAATTACTATAATTTAATAAATAATTTTTTAAATTACATTATTAAAATAAAAGGCCAACATACCGCCCAATTTGTTAGGTACGATTATATGCACCCAAAAAGGGGTTAAGGTGTCGAGGATTATGTGGCAGAGGCGGCGCACCACCGTAGGGGCGATTACGTTCACAAATTCCTAGGAGAGTCGGTTCCGACACAAAACACAAATTACATTCATTTGGGAGGTGGACCCTACCCTGTCTCATGCACAGGTTAAAGGATATTATTTTATTGAACAAATCAAAAGCTGCTACGTGAGACACTGTTCTTCCATGATGAGTTGGAATGGATGAGAACGAGTTTCAATCCTCATTTTATTTCTCTCACTGGAAACGTTCCGTTTATTAACGCTTCCAGCCTCCAAAGGCCGTTTTTAAAGGTATGAGTCATTGCCACAATGGACTCACCCTTATGCCTTCTCTATGAGCTCGTTTATCCATTCCACGTAAGGTCATGACAAGATAGTCCACGCAATCACCTCCTTTTTAGGTGGCAGTCCATGTACTATATATGCATAATATGCTAAACCCAAAATATATATTTTTCACACTTTTTTTTATGTTTTAATTTTTAATTGCAGTTTTGAGAGCAATTTTAATGGTGCAATCTAGGTAATTTAAGTGATTATTTATAATGTTTTTATGAACCCTATTACGATGTATATTTTTTAACCTTACAAAATTCATTTAACAATTCTTTTCTAACAGTACAATTCTAAATAATTTATCGAATCAGTATCACAAACTACTTTATATATTTAACTATTTAATATCTTAAACATATCAAAACTAGACTTCTTTTATTTTTAAAAAATGTGGCAGTTTTAAAATAAGAATATAAAAAATTTTTAAAAATTTCCTAAGCTTTAACAATTTTTTAATATATATTATTACAAACTTACTTAAAGCTGTAACACACTTGCATATTTTATTTCAAAGGTATTATTAAAAAAATTAGGACTGGACAGTTCAGTTAACTAAAATACTGATCTATTTATAAATGAAAAACTTCTTTATATTTTTTCAAATAAATAATTTAATTAATTAAAACTATTTATTTTGTTTAGTTTAAGTTGCAAAAAGATAAAAGATATATTTTTAAAAAATGTAATATAATATGTGAATAACACACACATCAATGACGATATTTGCAAACACACATTGACAAACCGATAAAGACAGTCCGAGGTGGAATTTAACGTGAATCTTATACCGCCTTTCGATCGAAAAACCTGTCATGAATTGGCACCGATAGTAACTGATCACCTTTTCTTTTTTAAATATCTTCTGCGTAGAACTAATCCCCAGCCTTTACTCGCCGAAATTCAAAATGCGATATATACGAGCAGATTAACAGCAAATATAATATTGCAAATTTCAATTCAAAGTAACAATTTTAAAAGCATATTTTTATTGATGCAATTTACAATAACCAGTGTTTGTTTTTCTTTGGTTGCAATTAAGTGGGGGGTAAAAACCGGACTTTGTTTGACAGGGGAAGACAAAAGGGCAAAAAAAAAAAAAAAAAAAAAAAAGGCAGAGCTTAATTGACTAATGGGAACGGCGCCTAATAATAGCGCGTGTGCATAAGAGTCACAGAGCAAAGCATCACGTCGATTATTGCTGAGGCTGAAGTTTCCGTGTCAGCTCCCAACCCAACTTACCCCGGATTTGCATCCCCCTATATATATATATCCATCACATTTATCATTCCTCTCTCTGCTTCTTTCCCCAAGTTCCCTGTTAAACCTTCCTTTCATTTTATTCATTTCCTTCCTCCCAAAACAATCTCTATCATTCAAATGGGTCCCCGAACCATATCCATCGACTACCAAACCACCCGGGCCTTACCCGAACCCGATGTCTTCATTCACACTTCCAACGGAACACGAATTCCGGCCCACGCTGGCATTCTGGTATGTTTCGGTTTTTAATTATATGATTGTAATTTTCTTTTTCCATTCATAGCTTAGCGCTTATTTTGTTTCCCGCTTTTCAAATTAAGGCTTCGGTGTCGCCGGTATTGGAGAACTTCATAGATCGGCCACGTAAGCATCGGAGCTCCGAAAGAATAATCCAAATCCACGGCGTTCCCTGCGACGCCGTCACCGCCTTCGTCGGTTTCCTTTACTCCTCCAGGTTAGTTCTACTCAACACAACGGTTTATTCACTCGTTTGAATCGCCGCCAATGTGAAATGACGCGGATGCCCCTGGTGCGATGCAGGTGCACGGAGGACGAGATGGACAAGTACGGGATGCACCTGCTGGCATTGTCGCACGTTTACATGGTGCCGCAGCTGAAGCAGAGGTGCATCAAGGGTTTGACTCAGCGGTTGACCACGGACAACGTGGTGGACGTGCTGCAACTGGCCAGGCTCTGCGACGCACCGGATCTTTACCTCCGCTGCATGAAGCTGCTCACCAATCATTTTAAGGCGGTGGAGAAAACCGAAGGGTGGAAGTTTCTCGTCAAGCACGATCCCTGGCTCGAACTCGACATTCTTCGTTTCATGGACGAACACGAAACGGTAATTACTAATTATTAATTAATCTCCAAATTAAATTTAATTAATTATTATTTTGAAAATTAATTAATGTGTGGATTATGCAGAGGAAAAGGCGATCGAGGAGGCACAGGGAGGAGCAGGGTTTGTATGCGCAACTAAGCGAGGCGATGGAGTGCTTGGAACACATATGCACGGAGGGGTGCACTGATGTTGGACCCTACGATGTGGAGGTGAAGGGAGAGAGGAGGCCGTGCGGCAAATTCGCCACGTGTCAAGGTCTTCAGGTTCTGATACGCCACTTTGCCACGTGCGAGAGGAGGATGAGCGGTGGCTGCTTGCGGTGCAAGCGAATGTGGCAGCTCTTTAGACTTCATTCCTATATTTGTCAGCAGCCTGATTCCTGCAAGGTTCCTCTTTGCAGGTAAATTCTAATTAAAAATTAAATTTCACACTCAATGTGATTTTTTCTTCGCAAGTGTGCTAATAATAAATTTATAATATTGGTTTAAAAATGCCAGGAGGTATGTTATTATTATAAGATATATTTGTGGTCTTTCTTGCTTTTGAATCTTAGGATCTGTCAAAGATGTATTATATCATTGGTGACGATACTATAATGAAAAGTGTTGGTCGTCACCTATAGGTCCTATGCGGCTTTTCTTGTTTTACTTTTTCTTACCCTTTTCCCGGCCTTTAAAGGGACAAAAATAGTTTCTTCCAAGCAAGAAGTACTTTTATAGAATTAGTTTTGTTTATTTTTTCAAATAAATAAGAAACTAGAAGATGACACGTTGATAGAAGTTTGTAATTAACTTTATTAATTTTTCTAATGTAATTAATCTATGTTCTAGGCTGTGCTCGATTCACACAGCAGTATGACCTTCGATTATAGTAAGAAGTGGTTCCATGGATACAAAAATTGTTTTATAGGACTAGAACCTCAGATTGAGATAGAAGGAGCAGCCGGACAAACAAAGGCTGATAATTAGCTTTGTCGGTTTTTTTTTTTTTCCCAAGATGAATTAATGTTCTTAGCTGCACCACTACGGAAAGTTCCGGTGATTTTGATAAAGAATTCGCCCATGATTAAGTTAGTAAATTGCTGTTTGGTTTCATAGAATTAGATTTTTTAGCCAAGGAGAGCATGATTGCTTGATTTTTTAAACAAAATTTAATCTAGTTGTGATGTTATATCTGACTTCTTTATCACATTGAAATTAGTGTGTTACTTTATAATTGGATTAGATTTGGGGTCCCATCATAAATTGTCTTTTTAGTTTGCTAGTTCCTGATATTTTTCAGGGATATATGTAGTTGTCCAGCTCGCATCTTTATGCAGTTGGTCCATGGTAGTAGTTGTTTTCAACTTATCATTTATCACCCTGCTAATCTTCGCATCCATAATAGCTAATCGTGTCCTAGTCACGGCTGTCTTTCATTTTACAAATCAATGCATTGATGGTATATTATACTATATAGTTATTAGATCTACCTTCCATTTGATGAGAAGGATGGTTCAAAACACGCCAACCATGTGTCCATCAGCGATGGGATCCCCAAACAAGAAGAAAATAAAATATCCCCGGTTGATGATGTACAGCTTGTCTTTATTGTAGGCAAAGAAAAAGCATACTAAACTAGTGGTTGAGCCTCGGTCTTTTATCAATCACCTGTCTAATTAATTGGGAAATTTACAGATCTATGATCACTATTTACTCTTCAAATCAAAACATAAATTAAAGTTAATATTCTCGTGCTTATCTTAAATATCTATGTTGTCTAATATAACGTCCAATTTCAGCCAGTGGTGGGTCCATGTCGCTGTCCTTGTTTTCTTATAATCTTATGAAGCTTCACATTTGTCTTGTCTTACCTACTAGCTGTCAAGGTATTTGAAATGTGCTCAATGTCAGATAACACTTAACATTTCTGTTTTGTTGAAATGTGACACAGGCAATTTCAATTGAGAATGCAGCAAGAGAAAAGGAGAGATGATACAAGGTGGATGCTACTAGCTAGGAAGGTGGCTTCAGCAAAAGTCATGTCTTCTTTGTCTCTGCCAAAGAGGAAGCGAGATGAGGAAACAAGAGTGACAATAAACAATTCTGGGATTAGAAGTTTCAAATTACTATGAATATTTTAATAATGTACACGATGGTGTGTTACGTGTTGATATGGCTGTATCTTTGGAGAGAATATTCTGCTAGCTGTTGTGTGTAGAAGCAGGAGGTTTTTTTTTGGTAACGTGAACTTCTTGTACCTGGTTTACTAGCTAGAGGAAATCGCAAATTGAGTATTAGCTTGCAACTGTAAATTTTGTTTGCTGTAGATACAAGCAAATTGAACCTCTTTTTGCGTTGTTGAGAGATTTTGAGAGCATTGTAAGCTAGTGAAAAATCTGTGTAGAATATAATCAATATTCATTTTAAATAGTCGTTTAGTTAGTTTATATTCTGAATTGGTCAATAACTAAGTGATTATTTAGTTTTATTATGTCATCTCATTTCTTCCTGGACTGATTTATGTTAGAACAACAAACTAGAGACACTAAAGATTTTGACATGATTATGGCAAGTGTTGGGGAACATATATTTTGGGACATTATCATTACTGTGAGTCTGTGAGAGTAGGATATTGTAAACGATGATTACACTTCTCAATTTTGAAGTCAAAACAATAGGTAAGGGCCGGCACTATAGTCTCACAGGCACACTGGCGCAGACGACACTTGGTCTTATGAAAGAACCAAAGAGGGGCTCATTTGTTAAGAAAGGCATTGAGGTGTTAGTGATGCCCTTCAGGAACCCACTAACTCTTAATACTAGATATCTAGTATCGCTATCATTTGCTTTAACGTGTGCCATTTCCAGAGGCTGTTGTCCTAGACAAAGTTAAGTGCATTAATTCGAGAGACACCGCCGAAAGAGCATTGTAACACTATTGAGTACTCTCTTTTTTTTTAATAACACAGTTGAGTACATGGAAGTCCATCGTTGTGGTCAATACGAAGAAATATGAAGCAAAGCATTATTAGCTTAGGGTTCCACTAACTTGGACAGTGGGGAAATATTGTTGTGTCACAATCGGATTGTAATGTTTCCATATTAAAAACTTCATATCACTTTTAAAGCATTTGTAAATTTGCAATGGTGGCTCTGCTCTTTCACCAATTTTCTTTGCAAAAAGAACGAAAAGTTATAACGGACTCCTTTTTCAATTAATAACCAAGGTAAAGATTATAATATGTTGAAGTGCAGAAATCAAAATTTTAATTTTATTTTATTTTGAACTTTATATTGCTTCATCCATATTGGTCAATGGTCATTAATGTCCATAAATAACTTAAATTAAACTTGTTATTCGCTATTTGCTGAAACTCTAGGGGATTAGAGGAACTTCTGCTCACTTACTTCTAAATTTGCCCACAGATCACCTCTCACTACATATAGGATTTTCTTCGTTTTTAAAATTCATTGTCCCACATGGATGAATCGGCATTATTGGTTAGACTTGTCTATATAAGATTTCAATGATCAATTCTGAATTTCCATTAAGTAACCGTCTGATAAGTTAGTGTTCTGCCCGTGTTTGAGACTAGTTTATCTCGCTTCTTATGTGACTCAAATTTTTGATATGGTGTAACTTCGATAATTTACAAATAAAATATATTAATCTTAATATTATGTATAACTAAATTTTAGAGTTAATAAAGTATATAACTAAAATTAAAGTATGTTTTTGGCACATATTTTAGAACAAGTGACAACATAAATATAATATCATGATATGTAAAATATTGTATCAAATTTTAATGTTTATCACTAATATATTCTTAAAAAAATATAAGCTTTAAAATAAAAATAAAAAAACCCATATTAGATTGAAATAACTCAAACTATAACCCAAACTCATTCTCAAAATATATTAGGTCTAATCTTGAAAATTTAAACTCATCAAAATCAATATTCAGGTAGCACAAGTCAACGGGGCAGGACAAATAAATTTGATATTTTTAGAAAATATATTTTCAACTCATTTTCTTACCATCAATACAAAGACTTACTTTGTTGTGTATCCTACTATTTTGGTTTCATCATCCTGTGTTTTTTACCTTCAAATTAAAATTAAACAAAGAAGTATTTTTCTTCAATTCAGCTTCCATCTGGTCAAAGTTTCATCCCTTACACTTTGGTGGGAAAAAAGAGAGTATAAAAGTGTAATTAAGCTATAATTTTTTATATATTTCTGTGAACACGCACGATAATTGTAAAACAGTCATGAAAAGTGAAAAAAAAAGGGCAGAAAAATCTTGTTGGTCATGTGCTGAATTTTCTGTTTCACGTGCCCAAAACTTGAAATAATTATTGTATTAATTTATTTAGTTGAAATTGAAAATGATATATACTGACGCTTTTGCTTTTCCAAATTCAATTTTGTTGGTGTTTGGGATAAGGAAAATTTTCTAAGTTAAAAATCATCTTGAAAGAAACTACATTTCAACAAGTTTTGAGGGTCAAGAAGGAGCCAAAGATAAACCTGAAAATAAGAGAATATTGGAAGATCTTTGGTTTTAATTAAAAGGAACACATTTCGAGCTATTTTAAGAGATTTTTGTCACATTGTTGATTTTTCTCTAAACTGCTTGAAAGACAAGAAAATATTCTAAGACCACAAAACTAAAGGCTTTTTCGAGAAGTTTTGAGGAGTTTTTAAGTCACTGACACCAAAAACTACTCGAAAAATAGAACTGGCAAGAAAATATTCCAAGTCCACAAAACTGATGGTTTTTCGAGGAGTCTTTAGGAGTTTTTAAGTCCCTGACACCCAAAGCTGCTCGAAAAACAGGACTAACAAGAAAATATTCTAAGTCTACAAAAAACTGATGGCTTTTCGAGGAATATTTGATGAGTTTCCAAGTACCTGACACCCAAAACTGCTCGAAAAGCAAGAAGTGGTAAGAAAATATTCTAAGTCCACAAACTTGGCTGTGTTCCAGATTTCCTCTAGAATTGCTCGAAAAACAAGAAGTGGTCAGAAAATATTCTAAGTCCACAAATCTGGTCGAGCTCAAGAGTCCCTCCAAAATTGCTCGAAAAACAGAAATGAGCAAAGAAAATGTTCTAAGTCCACAAGACCCAGACAGACTCTCAAAACTCCAGAATGGCTCGAAAAGAGAAGTCAAGAAGAAACTATTCCAAGGCCATAACATTAAAAAAGTTTTCTAGGTTTCTCTCAGAAATACTCGAAAGATAGGAGTATTGAAAAATCCAAAAGCGGTTACCAGTAGTTATCAACATTCACCACTACGCAAAGGAGATCATGGGCGATAGCGGTTACAACAAACAACACGATCACAAGCAATCGTGGATAGTGAGCATCAACAGTTGAAGGCAGTTACTAAGAAGTGCCCGCAAAAGGAGGAAAACGGTGGTGATATTCATGTCTATAAATACTACAAAGCATTATTTCACAAAGGACGACTTTTTGCACCCAGACACCGCACCTAAACACTCTGAGACGCTGAAACCCTGCACCGCGCCAGACACCAGCTACAAGGAGACCTACGGTGGCCGCTGTTCGCCGTTGTGAGGAGTCGTACGTTTATATTCACGCACCTTTAAATTCCTGCACATTTCCATTCCTGCATTTCAATTCAAGTTGCTTTGTTTAAATCGCTTTTGTTCCTGTTTCTGCAATTCATTTCCTATTTTATACTCTTCTATAACCAACTTCTACGTTAGTTATTCAATTCTGCACAATTACTATTCCCTATTCTTGCTTAATACTCTTTTTCGCCGTTTATTTGAGCATCACGTTAACAACACACTTAAAAGAACCCAAAGAGGACCTAAATCCAGTCCCCAAATTGATCTTTGGATTATTTGTTTACAAATTGTCATTTTTCGCCATAAACAAATTGGCACGCCCAGTGGGACAATATTGTGTGTTTTGAATGATTGTTTGCTTTGTTGCATGATATTACGTAACGGACGTTGTATTATGGCTAATAGAGGAAGAAATAGTGATTCTAGTTCTGGGAATGGCAATTCCAGAAGTGATGGTAGTGATACTAACCCAGAAAATGTAAGCGGCAGTACTACTACTGCCGCACAACCCACACAAACGACGGCGTTACCTACGCCGTCATCTCCCGTAGTTAGCCAATTTATGGCTACTATGCCGCCAACCAATCCCAGCATAAATCCTGGCCCAAGGCCAAGGCTGGGTGATCACCCATTTGGCTTACCTCCCGTGTGTATACCTCCTATCTTTGGAGTATCAACCTTCTCTAACCCTGTGGTGACAACCGTGTCACCCAGAGTCACACCATTCCACTGGGAATGGGTGTACTCCATACTATTCCACCGGGAATGGGTACGATTGGTGGAGTACCTGAAACGCAAGTTGCGTTTGGAGCTTCGAGTGGGGATTCACTTCCTACTAGCTCGTTTTTGAATGTTGCCTTACATTCCATGAGGCAACAGATGGATGAAAGCAATCACGAGATGGTCAATATGCTGACTCATCAAATGACCACTGTGTTGAATCCCATAGTGGAAATGACTAATACCAGCTATCAAATTTTGGCTGAACAAATGCGTCGAATTGCTGACGTTTTTGGGGCACCTCGAGTCCCTATAAGGCAAGGGCAAAATGTTGCCCAAACACCTAATCAAGATGCTACAAATCTTGGTCGAAATGGTCAAATTTTCGAGCAAAATAGACCAAATTTTGGTCCAAATCTTCCGAGACAAAATGAGGGAAATTTTCAGGTAGACCAACCCCTAGTTTTTGCTCGAAGAAATTGGTCGAAATCTCGACCAAAACCTTCTGAGACAAAATGAGGGTGATTTCCAGGGAAATCAACCCTTTATTATTGCTCGAAATCAGAATGCTGATGAAATACTTGAGCAAGTTAGGCAAAATAATTTAGGGGGGCATCAAATTCAATATCCAAACAACCCGAATCCTCAAAACATTGCCAATGTAGTCGAACAAGTCTTGAATCAACATGGGTTCGACGTAGGGTATGCTAATAGACCCTACTTTGTCTCAGCATTCTCTGAGGCAATTTTGCAGGCTGAACTGCCTCGGGGCTGGAAAGTCCCAAAATTCACTAAATTTGCCGGAGATTCCGGTGAATCTACAGTAGAACATATAGCTAGATACGCCATAGAATGTGGAGATTTAGCTCGAAATGAAGATTTAAAGTTAAAGTACTTTCCTAGTTCTTTGACTAAGGGGGCCTTTACCTGGTTCACAACCTTACCCCCGAATTCAATTCATAATTGGAATCAATTAGAAAGAAGGTTTCATGAACAATTCTTTCGTGGTGAAGCGAAAGTTAGCTTAATGGATTTGGTTAATATAAAAAGAATACATAATGAATCCATTGACAATTATCTAAGTAGATTTCGACAAATGAGGTCGAGATGTTTTACTCAAATTCCAGAATATGAACTAGTCCAAGTGGCTATAGGCGGATTAGAGTACTCGATTAGAAAGAAATTGATTAATCAGCAGTTAAGAGACATGTCGCAGTTAGCGACGAGAGTGAGGCAAATCGAGCAACTTAAGGCTGAAAAATTTGTCCCTAAGAAAATAGAGAAATTTCCTCGAAAAGACAAAGTGGCTTACATAGGTCTCGCTGAAGGAGAAATAGGAAGCGAGAATGATCTCGACGAAGAAGATGTCGATTTAGGGGTAAATGAGGTAAATGTAGCTGAATTAAAACCAGGACCCCCTTATGTTTGCCAATCTTTAAAACCACTCAAAATTAAGGACAAAACTCGACCTAATAAGAGTTATGCCTTTGATGTATCTAAAGCTGATCATATTTTTGACATTTTATTGAAAGATGGGCAAATTATATTATCTGATGATCATAAAATCCCTACTCTAGAACAAAGAAAGGGTCAAAAATATTGTAAGTTTCGTCACGTTTATGGACATTGGACTAATAACTGTGTTTGTTTCAAGGATCTTATTCAGGACGCCATTAAGTAAGGACGATTAAAATTCGAGCAAAAAACCAAAATGTCGATGAAAATCGATTCTGATCCCATGCAAATAGAAGCTAACTTCGTGGAACCTATCGACATACTGATGGTCGATGTTGCTGAACAACAG